AACACTTCACTTATCATAACTTCGTTTCCACAACAAGAATATCAAAGAAACCACCAGTTTCATGTTGAACTCCGTCTCATTCACCACCTCTGATCATCAATAATTGTCTATCAACTCCAGCTGCCATTGCTGCAATGTTCTCTTTGATCGCGCACTCATTTTCCTCTTGAAACACCAACTTGAACGTGTTCAACTGAATTTCTTCATCTTTGTAGCACTACACCTAAATCAACCACATCTCTTTTCCCAAGGTCTGAGTCTTCAACTGCTATTTGTTCATCCCTTGATTCAGATCACTCTAATCCTGGACTGGATTCCATTCCGATCGTCAAATCTATATTATGAAGTCCTGATAGTCCAAGTAAATGATGTCTCTAGATTCTTCAGTCCATGTGCTTTAGCACACCTGCTGGAATGAAAAACTGGAACTCACATTTTTATCTCATCACTTTATCACTTAGTGTTGTTTTGGGAAACTTGATTTTATCCAATTGCACTCCTTGAATCCAATCAGATCATCAACTCCTGATCATCTCTCTACTTAATAATTACCCAATTTTTCAAAATGTTATTTTTTTGGTTTATTCAATTTTGAATAAGACTGAAAATGAGATAGAACAATGATTCAAATGATCATTTCTAATGAGTCCAATTTGAAAAAGGATGAAGGTCCAACAAAAAAAGGGAAAATGATGTTTAGCCTTACTTGCCAAAGTTTACAGCCAGTAACTCAATGCAACGCAATCAAGAAAAAACAAGTTCACAGCATAAGGGGCTCATAATAGCATACAAGTGATCAAGCATTAGTGAATTGCTGCAAAGGCAGACTTAGTAACTTCAAAGGAAATTTTGATTGAAATTTGTTACTCAAAGAGGAAGAAATTGAATTAGAGGTGGGGATATCACAAATTATATTATCTCCCTTTCTGATTAATTTGAATTTCTCAGTATCATCTTTTGTACAACTTGGCATACTTGATGACCAAAAACAAATCTTACCCTGCACGTACTTTCATTTCTCAAATACTCCATCACCTGTTTGCATCATGTGTTGTAAGAATTTATTGTGTAATAAGAACTCAAGTGGCCAGCTTTTATAAGCAACTGTCTTATTTGTTAGCAGAGCATGTAACTGAGTCTGCTTATGTGGTTTGACTGAACATAATCAACTTTAGTGTAGTAGTCAGACTCATACTGTTGAAATTGTCTAGCTAATAATTACATTCCTGTGCATTTTTCATATGAGCATTTCCTGACAAATAATGATGGACTAGCGACTTAGCGGCGGCCGCCGCTTTAGCGGCTGACGCCCCCATTCCATGTATAACCCAAACACATTACAATAGATCACAATCCCAAAAGCATGACAAAACTAAAATTTCATACACATACATATTTACTAACTTTAGGTGTGGGAATCACCCTTGGTGACCTCAACGTGGCAAAATTTGTTTGCAACAGAGAAGTCACAAAATTGAGATACACGGTGAGATGCTCAAATATATTTGGACAATACAACACTTACAAAGTGAGAGAAAGTGCAGTCAGTATCTTGAAGCTTAGTTAATAATTGTTAAGATGGAAGGGAAACCTGTACATGTGACTGAATTAGAAATTCCAACAAGTACTTTCATATTCCTATCATATAAACACAAATGGGGCATGAAGACTGACTCTACTGACAGGATCTGATTGTAATGAAAGTTTTCCAGGTGATTCTCAACTTGATCAACCCAAGTGGAGAATTAAGCTTTTCAACATATCCCAAGATTAGCCAAGGACATACAAAACCTTTATGGTTCATCAGATGATTCCAATTGAATTTGTAATTGGGATTGCAATTGGCTTAGATATCCTAAATCTTGTCAGGTATCATGATCCTTTCCTCTATCTAGTGGCTTTGTAATGATGATGCAGAAGGGTGTCTCTTAATCATCTCTAATAGAAGGGTATCATTGGTTTCATGATTGAAGTGGCAATCAAAACATTGCAACCAATCTAAAAACTTCACAGATCATCAGAAACCCAAAGAGCCTGAGCAATGGTTATGAAAAAGACTGATGAGACGTATATGCAGAAATCAACAATTAACTGCAAAATTTCAAAGAATACTCAAATGAATTGAAAATCATAACTGCATGACATCTTTCAACCCTGAAATTTTCCAGAGATATATGTATTCAGTGAGAATGGACCGATTTCTGTGTTGGTCTGTTGGTGTACACATAATTAATCAGTTGAATGAATCCACTTAAATCAAACTTGCAATCAAATCATCCAAATGGTCTGATCCAGTAACAATTCCTAATCTAGCTTCAAGTGAAGAAGTAGTATGAAAAAGATCATCAAATTTATTCCAAACAAACATCTTGATTCAATTTGATCAAAAAGTTGATCTGCCCAAAATTGTTTGGTCTAATAATAGCCTTGCTGGTCTTGTAAATTCTTCTAGTGCTTATAGAGAATACTGGCTGGGAGTTGACATTCAAAAAGAAAAAACAGATACTGTCACCATCATTATAACACTACAAGAAATATAATGTTTTCTGGGCAGAAAATTAAATTATTGATACACAAAAATATTGAGAGGCCAGGAGAAGGGCAACAAATAAATAAAAATATGCATCTTGTTCCCTGCGGTGAGAGCTTCACTCTCCATATTTTTCCGTATTTTTACAGTCCATATTGATAAGTGTACTAACAATAAACCTTCACAATCATCCAATTACAAC